TCCGCGTACCCGTCGGGCGTCAGACCCTGGATAACAAAAAACTTATTTTTAAAGATACTAGCTCGTACCGTATTTATGAAGAAAAAGGTATTTGACTAAAATACAAAAATAGATTTGTAGGAGTTGGTAAAAGATGGCGCTGTAATTAATAAAAATTTATGAAAACTTATTTACGATTTACGTAAAAACTACTTAGCCGATTTAAAAATTATTTCACTTATAGGTTAATCAATTCATCTTTCAGTAACATAGGCTTTGCTTTTTAAAGAGAAAAATAACTTGACAACAGAAAAAGAAATTTATAAGTATCGTTAAAAGATGGCGCTGTAATAAATAAAAAATAAGAAGAAATTGTGTTTCTGGTTTATAGACAATCTCATTTGGCACTCTCCCTCGCATGTTATACTAACGTTAATATGAGTACTCTTTGGAGAGTGCAGAAGGCGTCCATCAATTTTTTTTTGAGTTTGACAAAGTAAAAAGACATGATTTCAAACTACAGGAAAGAAATTCTATAATGACATACCTCCTCCACATCTTCTTGCGCGGTGTTCCTCTCCTCGTCATCTTCATTCAGTTCCTTCTTTAACTCGATCTGACCCAGCATTAAATCCCTTTTAGCTCTCGCTTCTTCTCTTGTGTCTCGTCGTCTTTCTGAAATAATAAACGTTAAACTTAGAGGGTAAATATTTGGGATAAAAACCCTAATGTGGGAGGGAGACCATAAGTTGCTGCCAACATCAAGGAAGCAAGGTTGCCATGGTTTGTCATCGTCATGTCATTTTGACATTTGCAATTGATAATTTGACAAATGTGAACAAGAAAATGAATTTTTTATAATTCCATGCGGATGAAGTCGCATGGGAACAGATAGTATTCGTATATAGAGGACAGTCTAAAAGAAAAGATAGACTTTTTGTTTTTTTAAAATAGCACGCGGACGGAGTTGCAGGGGAAAGCTAGTTTAAATAAACTTACGTTGTCTGTATGTTTTATTCCTCTCCTCGTGTATGGCCTCCACCAGCACCTCCGTCAGGCGGTCCAGCTCCTCGCCGCCGCTCACCTTGCTCATTATTAGAGAACGGTTTAATGATTGCTGGAAACATTACAAGGCTTGAAAGTTTCTACCAAAATTATCTTCGAACTTCGTAAGAAAATGGTACTTTAAGAAAGTTTCTACAATGATTTTTAAACTCATGTGAACTAAAACAAGACTAGGATATTCATATTTAGCAAAAAGTTTCAGTTAAAGAAAATGTAAATTTTTAGATTAGAATCTTAATATTTGCAATTAACTTTAATAAAAAGAAGGGGTTTCAAATAAATAGGATAATATAGGAGTTAAAAAACGAAAGAAAAAACAGTACTTTTAATTAGTCCTATTGAAGTTTTGTTTTGAGAAATTACTTGTAATAAACAATTTTACCTTTTCTTGGTAATCAACGCCCATTGTTTTATGCAATCGATATAAAACCTTCTTTCCCCTGTCTCCTAACGCTTGAAGTTGTTTCAGAACATCCTCGAATACCTCTTTAGAGTTCACATTTGGGTCTGTAGTGTTTAACTGTGGAAATAAGTGTGGAGTGCAAAATACAACCTCTTTGGCTGACAAGCAGTATGTATACAGCCAAAGAGGTTGCATACTGGCCACCAAGGCATTTATCGTTGTTTGTAAAAGAAAATATATAAAAGAATAAGTCAAGATGTGATCGACAGAGTTTTAAGAGTTTTGTATATATTGTGTAAATAAGTTTTAAATAAAGATGTGTTAGTATAAAAAAGTGTTTTGTATTTTTGGCTGCCGCGCTGTCGGTAACAAGTTAAACAAAGTGTTTATAATTTTTACCTTATGTAATGGAAAGACTAGTTTTTATGAATTCAGATTTTGAAAAAATTACTTCTTATAATAAATGCGAAAGTTTCGATGGATGTTTGTTAGAGTTTGTAGCCTAAACTGTTGAACATGTCTAGATGAAATTTGGCATAAATGTAGAGGATAGTCTTGAAGATAACATAGGCTATTTGTTTTTATTTTTTAATTCCACGTAGACGGAGTTGCGGGCGAAAGTTAGTATATATATAGTTACTAATATATGCTTGAAAGTGTAAAAATGTTTAGAAAAATGAATAAAGCGAAAAAATGTAGAGAAGATAATAAAACCGAACAGAGTTCTTATTTAAAATATCATGTGTTTTTATGTGAGTTATTAAAAAATTAGTATGAACGGTAAATAAAATAAACCTAACTGCTTGCTCATTTCGGATGTACATTGTTATCTTATTGTACAAATAATTAACTAATTCCAGTTCCACAGATATCATTTAACTAGAGACGATTAAGGATAGGTAAATATTTTTATAAAAATTAACTTAATCAGTACAGATATGACTATTACGTGTTTAAAAAAAATAAATACAAAGATATGTTTTAAAACATGATAAATATTTTAAAACATTATCATTTTGGTTTGAATTTAACGAAATACGATACATTAAATTTTCAATAAAAATTGGGATTTCAATATAGTTTTACTATGAATTTATTTTAATTTTCAAAGCTACTAGCTCCATCTTTATTCAATTAACCTACAACTGCGTTTAGCAAATCTTGTTTTTTGTTTCCAAAAAAGTAACATAGATGTCACTATTTAATATAATAGAATAAAATTATGATTTACATCATTTAACTTATTCCGTAGATTTATTACAATTATTTCGTTAATAGAATACTATATAACACTATTTGCCCGCATATTCGTTCGTGCAGAATTAAAAAAAAAACGGTAAGTAGGCTGTGTTCTTCCAGACTAAAGTCTATATCTGTTCCAAATCTCATTTTATTCAAGTAGTTTTGAAGATAAGTGGCAACAAACATCCAAACTTTCACATTTATTATATTAGTAAGATTCTTTCGAGGTTATCAATCGTATGTTTTACCATCTTCTTTGGAGATATTTTACAGCCTAACAATGATATATTTGATAAGAAAATATTAGATAAGGTAAATTTTCCACAATAAGGAATTTACAATGTAATATAAAGGAATTAGAGTTTAATTGGCACATCATAATTTGCGTGAAATTTGCTTTATTGTTCATTGAGGTTACGAACAAATGCGTCATAAGGCTTTTATATAAGAGATAGGAAAAATCTTCATTATATAAGAGATACGAAAGTATGTACATAACATAATTTCACTTTTTTTGATAATATTTACTATCGTTATCGGTTTTCAAATATCTTGTGTATATTCTTTTATTGTCTGGTTTAAATTTTATGACTTCATTATATTTTATAGCTTATAATCTAAATGTTTTTACAAATATTTCACTTTACTCTTTATGTGTTTAAATAAATTATTGTATTACAAAAATATTTTTATTAAAAAACTAAAAATTAGATTTACTTTATGTATGTATTTGACACTTATTATTGATAGCAAAAAGTTAAAATTTTTAACTTCAAGAAATAAAAAGAATGTATTGACTATTAGAAACATCAAATACGTTTTTGATTTCTTGTATCCTGTCTGATAACGCCATCTAGCGGCACGAATTTAAAACCATTTCTCGTCAAACAATTATGCTATAAAATTGTAAAAAAAACATCTCAAATTGTAATAATAACGTAAATAAAGGTAGTATTAATTATCAACTTACTTCAGTTTCTGTCTTTTCAGTATCCATTTTGATGTTTGTAGGAGATTCGTATTTCTCTGTTACAATTCTCGTGTTTGTTTCATTCATTTCTGTGGATATTTCCGGCGTTGTTGTAACTTTGATTTCGTTTGTTGTATTCATTTCAATAGCTTTTGAATCCAGAGATTTATTTTTAGCAATCTCTTGATCGCTACTATTGCCATCTATGTCTGAAATTGAATAACATTGAATGGATATAAAGCGTTATTTGTGAAAACCAAAATTAAAACATTTGCTAGCTTTGACCTGCGATTCCGTTAGCGTGGAATTAAAAAAACACAAGTAGCCTACATGTTCCAGACTATTCTTTACAACAATACAACATCCATCTAAAATTTCACATTTATATTATTATTAAGATAGTCGTTATTCCTTTAGTAACAGAATAGACTCTCCTGAACAATTTAATTATGTTGAAGCGCGCGTTATTAAGACGTTTCCTTGTACGGGTCTGTTATCATTGTAGCAATTAATGTCTTAGACAAATAAATCGAACAAAGTTATTATTTGAGGTTATCAAAATGGAATAAAGTGACAATAAAATAAATGTGTTTGCGGGACACTTGAGTTGCAACACTTAAAGATTAATATTGCTGTAAACTATTGCTTGGTTATCTTAAAATTGCCTTATGGCCGGTTTCCCAATTTTTAACCATTCGTTAGGTTTTTGCCTCAATAACCTTTTACGTTTCCGAACTACGTATGAGTTTAACTCTTTTGAAAAGGTTAGTTTAACACTTTTTTTTATTTATTTATTGTAATTTTATATGTATACAACCATTCTTTTGTTAGTAAATTTTACTTAATCTATTTTAGTATTGTACATATATATTTTTTTTTTAAACAAATGAATCACTAGATATTATCTATACTAATATTATAAAGAGGAAAGATTTGTATTTTTGTATGTATTGAAGTAACTCAAAAACTACTGGGCCGATTTTAAAAATTCTTTCACCGTTGGAAAGGTAATTTATCTGTGAGTAACATAGGATATATTTTTTAAATTCGCGCAGGCAAAGTCGCGAGAGACAGCTAATACTAAATGCGAAGGTTTAGATGGATGTTTGTTAGAGTTTGTAGCCTAAACTAAACGGATTTTAATGAAAGTCACAGATGTAGAGGATAGTCTGGAACATAGGCTACTTTTGTATCTTTGATTCCTAACGGATAGAGTCGCGGGCGAAACCAAAAGCTAGTGATAAAATAAATGGAAAATTGAGAACACTATAAATGGAGAGTTTTGATTTACCTTTAAATGAGAGCCATTGTCTGGTATCTCTGTCTACATTAGTGTCTCTATGTCTGTGAAGTTCTGTAAGCGACATGAGATGTGAAGGTGGTCGATAGTATTTGAGTTGTTCGTCTTTCGCAGCCTGACGTATCGCGTGCAGTCGTTCCAGAATCTCCCTTAGTTCCTACAAGATATGTTGTATACGTGTTGGCAATGAAGACATTTAAATATTATATAGACGAGACAAAGTTCACCGGTACTTTCTATGATTGTTTTTTTATAACATAAGATGGCAAACGAGCAAGCGGCCACCTGAATCCGCCAAAATGGCGAATCGACCGCTGCCCAT